CCATAAAAACAAACTACCGTGGCTACTGAATGTTAGTGACTTTGGAAATAACACAGCTAAGCAGGCCCAAAGGAAGTGCCAGTTGCGTTAGGAGAAGCCTGTTCTCACTGGAAGCCAAGCAAACTGTCAGCCTCCTGCCTCCATAGCCGGGTCTGTGAACTCCATCTATTTGATTCTGTTCTATAGAAAGGCGATTGAATCCCTAGCATTGTCCAAGACGGGCCCAGCAGTGTGTGTTCCCACTAGACAAACCACTGTTTGGTTCTCTTTCTCCCTGCGGTGGAAAGGTGGCTCAGGGATAGCCCATGAAGCACAGAAGACCAACAGCAGTTAGGTTTGCACTGCCTGGTTTTTCCACACAAACAGAGAATGGGGATTTTGTTTTACTCTGCAGCATGCAGAGCTGGGCCACAACAGCATCAGGAATGCTTCAGGGGTTCTTTAGATGAGCTAGCACTGTCTAGGCCAGGGGTCGGCAGCCTTTCAGAAGTGGTGTGCCGAGTCTTCTTTTAGTCACTCTGATTTAAGGTTCCGCGTGCCAGTCATATATGTTAACGTTTTTAGAAGGTCTCTTTCTATAAGTCTGTAATATATAACTAAACTATTGTTCTATGTAAAGTAAATAAGGTTTTTAAAATGTTTAAGAAGCTTCATTTAAAATTAAATTAAAATGCAGAGCCCCCCGGACCGGTGGCCAGGACCCGGGCAGAGTGAGTGCCGCTGAAAATCAGCTCGCGTGCCGCCTTCGGCACACGTGCCATAGGTTGCCTACCCCTGGTCTAGAGGTTTAATCTTTGGCTGCACTGAAAAGCTTGGGAGGGAGTGTGGAGGACAAGCCTGGGGTGAGGGACTTCCTGTGATACCCAGGCACATGGCTAGAATCTGCCACTTACACAGAAGTGCATAAGGAAGAGCTGTTACCTGCACCGCTTGACTTAAAGGTGGCATCATGTCTCACCAGACTCAGCACTGCCACAGGAAATGTACTGAGCTGCCCTTTCTTTCCAAGAGGATGCCATGCTGGTGCCTGGGAGGCTGTATCTCCAACAGCTCACACGGCACAAAACACAGAGGGTGCGGTTTCCCTGGCCCTGACGTAGCTCTGCTGGGATAGACGCGGCCGTGTGCAATGCCTGGCTGCACTTTGGGACCTGACTGCTAAGACAAAATTGGTGGGAGGTACAAAACGTTCTCCATGTGCCACATTACAACAAGATCACCCGGCCGACTGCTAGGCCCGGGAATCAATCACACTCATCATGTCTATGCTGGTAGCTGCTGCTCTGTGCTGGACACTGTGCCCATGCAGGACACAGCCCATCTCCTAAAGGACTTCCAGGCTGAAAAGAGAAGCAACATAAAAAGGGGGGGCTAGAAGGGGACATGTTCCTGTTACAAATTTCAGCTGAGTCTTTCCCCAGTCATGTGGCTCAGGCACAAGTTCCCCTGAGCTATGGCCCTCGACAGACGACTGAGAGGAAACACAAGGCACATTAGAACGGGGCCCAGAAATACTGAAAGAGGAAGGAAATCTGCTTCCAAGCGGTCCTGGAGCGGCCACAGCTAGAGCTGGTTAAAGACGAGGGCCTCTCGCTGCCAGGATGTCCCACTCTCAGCCTCCTGGGACGAGAGGCAAGCACCGATCCCACAGCAGTTTGACTACTGAGCACTGACACAAAATGCTGCAAGAGCTCTAGCTCTCACGGCAGCGGCTATCGCCTAGCTGAACGGGAGAGAGAAAGTAGTACTCCTGCCAGTGTGGTCAAAAGCCAGGCTTCCCCAGCTCAGAACCCCAGTGACTCTGCCCGGATCTGCAGCCCTGGAGACAGATGTTTGCCTTCCTTGGGGATGCACACAGAGGACGTGCACTTGTTGCTTGGAGCTGGTTAACTTTGCACACCTCTTTCTACCCTGAGCCGGTAAGGGCACCAGTCTGAGACTGCAGCAGGCTGGCAAGACTCCAGGATGCTCTGGTCCAAAACTAGGAACATACCGGGGCAGATCCTGAGCTGGTGGAAACTGGCACTATGCTGGGGATCCGGTGCCCCGGCTTTTGCACTGCACCGAAAGCCGGGACACTTGTTTGGCCCAGGGAAGCAGGTTAGTGTGGTGACGAGTCATTTCTGACAAAAAAGGAAAAGTCGATAAAATATTCCCCAAACCGCCAGGGGTTAAGCATGCCCAACCAGGGAAGGAGAGGCAGCCAATTAGCTTAACGACCCAACCCGAGTCACAGCCGTCACATGTTCATTCCCTGATTGGTGCAGCACAGCCATGGGGACTGGGCAGCCCGAGCACAGCCGAGATCCACCTGTGATGTGACAGTCTCTTGCAGTGTGTTCTCCTTTGGAAAGCACAGTCAGAACACAGTTTTCTAATGTAGGGTCACAGTCCATTAATGATGGTGACAGAAGCGGGGTAGGAGGTAGGATAAAGAAGCTGCTTTGGAGTGTAGCCAGCGTCCCGTTAAAGCCAACACCCGGTTGATGCTTTAGGACAAAAATTTGAATTTAGGTTTCCCAATAAGAATCTGTTTAGATACAAAATTTGACATGGGCAAGAATGTGGAGGGGCAGTGCCCACCGGACGCAATGATCCACATGAGACAGACGTGCTGGTGAGAGAGCGGTGCGTGACAGAAATAAACAGATCACCCACTGGGCAATATTTCTGTAGGAGCTAGACCCAAACAAGAGCCCCCTGCCCCCAGTGCTTCTCCTAATTGCTTTCTATGATGTAGCACCACCAGGCCCAATGCCCGCTGAGATGACCCCGTGGGTGAGTGGGCTCAGGCAGGGTGACTAGACAGGTTAGTGATGGTGAACCGTATTTCCTCCAGCTCTGAAGCTCTCAGTTAGTAGCCGTGCTGCAAGCCGGGAGGAGGAGGAACTGGGTCCAAAACTCCTGCATCCAGACTGGCTGCCCACGACAGGTGAGGAGGACTCGCCCATTTGTCTCTAGTGACGACAGCCACCCAAGGACAACAGCCTCCTGCCCTGCTGCTGCAAGGGAAACCCGGGCTCCAGCACGCCATGGTCCCGAGCAGCACCGGTACCGCACAGGCTGGTGCTCATGGGGAGCCAGCCCCACTCCAGCAGAAGCAAAGAAAGAACAAACCCCAGACAGACACGTGTTGTCATGTGAGGCTCCCCGCTCCAGGGTCCTGGAGCAAACAGCTGAGTGGGTTAAACAGAGGCTCACAGCTACCTCTGAGGCAGAACAGCATGTCGCAGTGATGCTAGCACTAGGCAGATGGAAAATTAGAAGGGTTTTCATTACACATGCTTCACCCCCAGCTGGCGAAGGCCCCCCCCAACGGTCTAGCATTGCACAACTCAATCGGGATTTTATGCCTTTCTCTGACCTATCCAGCAATGGTCACTCTCCCAGACAGCACACCAAAGGACGTGGACCATTGCTTTGTCCTGGGATGGGAATGGTGAATTCCTGCTCTGGGCTACAGCCACAGGTCTGCTGAGCTGGCTTCAGCCCCCGTACCTTGGAGGAGTGGGGGGCAGGGAAAAGATGGCAAAAGGCGGCTGTACCTCTTTAACCTCCCCTGATCCCTGGGGGAGCTGGGGGCATCAGCACATTTCTGTGTTGTGCTCCCACGTGCCGGCTCTAACAGCATCCAACTGGGCAGTGATACGCCTCAGGGACAGCTGGAGCGCAGCAGCACTGGTGACACCCCCCAACACCACGGCCAGGGCTTGGGATGGCCTGTGACTCCGGCTTTATGCCGTCTGGGGGTTCCTGCCAGCTGGAGGGATCCCAACAGCTAGAGCAACTTTACAGGCGTTGCTGCAGCGGCACAGAGGGACGGTAGCAGGGGCCAGAATCTGGTCTATTTATTCTGGGTGCTCACCTTGGCAGGAAACAACCAAATGGGAGACGTGCTCGTGCCTCTGTGTGACGAAGTGGGACTGTTCTTAATGTTTCCTCTGAATACTGTGTGGGTGCCTCAGTTTCCTCTATGCATTTCTTAAGTCTCTAGGGGGTGAGATTGTTGCAGAGCAAAGGGCCAGTGTGCATAAATGGCCGGCACTCTGTCTCCTGGCAACTAATGGCCAGGGCCCTTCCCCCCTGCAAGGAGATAGCTAAAGGTGTTGGAGAACAAAGAGATCAGGTGACCTCCTGACCCGGGGAAAGGAACAAAGCCCAGAAGAGGAGGGGCTGGAAGGAGAGTCAGTTTGGAGCTGGCTGGGGATGGGAAGTGAAGGCAGACGGGGTTGTCTGGCTCGCGGCCCCCCAGGATGGACCCGGCTGAGGGGTCTTGTTCTTTGTACCTACAAGCTCTGTTTTAGACCATGTTTCTGTCATCTAATAAACCTCTGTTTTACTGGCTGGCTAAGAGTCACGTCTGACTGCGAAGTGGGGGTGCAGGACCCTCTGGTTTCCCCAGGACCCCGCCAGGGCAGACTCGCTGTGGGAAGCGCACGTAGGGGCAGCGGATGCTGAATGCTCCAAGGTCAGACCCAGGAAGGTGAAGCCGTGTGAGCTTCTTGCCCTGAAGACAGTCTGCTCACAGAGAGGAGACTTCACCAGAGTCCTGACGGGCTTTGTAGGGAGCAGTTCCAGAGCATCGCCCGGGGACTCCGTGACACCCTGCCCACCCAGCTCCTCCAGGCTCAGCTCACTAGTGCTGAGAGCAGACCTGGGATCAGACCACTCGGCAGCCGCTCAAAGCCAGGCTAGAACAGGGCCGCCCGGGGGGGAGGGGCAAGTGGGGTGCTTTGCCCCGGGTCCCGCAGGGGCCCCCACAAGAGTTTTTCGGGGCCCCTGGAGCGGGGTCCTTCACTCGCACCGGGGGCCCCGGAAAACTCTCGTGGGGCCCGGGGCCCCGGAGCTTCTTCCGCTCCAGGTCTTCGGCGGCAATTCGGCGGCGGGGGGTCCTTCTGCTCCGGGACCCGCCGCCAAAGTGCCCTGAAGACCCCAGGCCCCCTGAATCCTCTGGGCGGCCCTGGCCTAGGAGGGAAGAAGTTGCCTTATGCATTACTCACAATGCTCCTCCTCGTCTTATCCCCGCCGCTGAAGGTCACTGCCAGCATGGAGGCACACTCCTCGGCGTAGAACGGCCTGTTCCCCTCGTCGTCCACCGCACCTGGGGAAAAGCGACGGAGAATACATCAAGGTCCAGGGGCTGCTGCCTCTCTCACTACACAGCCAAGCTGCTCAGGACCTAGGCAACGTCTCAGCCTTCACTCCAAAAAAGGGACAGGCTGTGGAGCTCCGCACTTCCAGTCACATATCAAACCACTAACGCTCCTTGCGTTTCAATGCACACCGGCCTGTACCGGAAAGTTTCACAGGTGAGCAGAAGGCTTGCTACAAAATGGTCGAGAATTAACTTCCACACAGAGTTATGCCCAAACAAGTCTTATCCTCTTTGTGACTCTGACAAGGAAATTGAGACAAGCTTGGTCGTTCTGCCCTTTGCCCTAGCCCTGATCAGTGGGGAGGTCCTCCTCTGTGTAACGCTCCCTCTAGGGAGGTGGCAATCAGAGTCCAAACAGCTCACAGGCACCCATTGTTCAGGCCAGTTACTCCATGGCCACCTCACCCCTCCGGTTTCTCCCTTCCCTCCGGGGCAGGTTGGGGACCAGGAGGATATTGGGAGTTTGCAGCTGAGCAACTGAACTCAACGGTTAGTAGTACGCTGGCTCTCACAGTGCCCGGACCATGGATCGCCAGCAATCCCCAGAAGGAACCCTGCTGGAAGCCAAGCGGGGGAATAGGACGTTGGGAAGGAGATGGGGCCAGGAGGGATCCCTTATGACGCCGTTTGTAAGATGGACAATCCAGAGGACTTTTGAATTTTGAGCAGTGCTCAGCAGTCTGAAGACAGGCTTATCCAAAGCAAGCCTCCAATCCTTCTGGGTTTCACCAGTCACTCACTGGCATGCACCTGCACACACGACAGTCTAGTGTGAACAACAAGCAAATTCCATCTCGGAAAGCACAGAGAAAATGTCAATTAAAGCAATTTGCTTATGAAACCAGAAGTATCCCAAGATGGTCTTCGCTCAACACATCAGTCTCCATGAAAGACAGTGTTATTACAGGATCTACGGAGGGGCAGCCCGGTCTCGCTGTGACATCACAGAACCAGCACCCGGAGAACAGGATTCTAATCCCAGTTCTGCAAGGGACTTCCTGTGATTTTAGACAAGTTACTTCCCTCTCTGCGCCCGAGTTTCTCCAGCTGTATCGTGGGGAGAACAATACCCATAGCAAACTACTGTTCGTACGGAGCTAAGTACCCGTATGTTAGACTATAACACAGCTATCTCCTGTGCACGCTGCCCGTAGTGTCTGGTTCTGGAACACAGGCTCTGGTGCATGCTGTAATTCTGCTGCACGGACACGCAACTACAGGCAGCGGCCTACAGGGCTGGGGCTGCTGTACATACCCTCCCACAAAGCCATCCTGTTCCAGTGTCAGAACAGGGGCCCTGCAGCAAACACGTGCCCTGCTTGGCCTCTAGGAAGAAGTTTCCAGAGACATTTACCATATTAAGCCTCATTTTAATCAGTGAAATACCAGCAGATGACAAGAAGCAGAGCTCTCCGCCTGCTATGTTTCTCAGCAAGTTTTCTATCCATAGCCACATTGGTATAGAGTCTCATGAAGAAGCATCTCCTCCCCACCCCAACACACCCGTTCCCTCCCCAGGATACAGAAATATCTTGGATATTAAACTGAATGGAAAACCCCCTCTCATACACTGGGAGCATGGGAGGGGAGGACTTGCTGCATTTCTCCGTATTATCATCATCATCATCAACACAGGCAGCTACTTGGATGTCTTAATAATTAGCCCTTCACAACCATTAATCAGCCCCGACATCTATGAGAGGTAGGCAAGTTACTCCCACTTTATAGCTGGGGAAACAGCTGCAGCGAAGTGACTTGCCAGAGGCTGTACAGCAAGAAAGGGCAGGTGTTCCTAGTACCTAGCCCCACGTGCCATTCCTTGGACTGTGCTGCCTTCCTCCTCCCCAATTCTCATGCAGGGCAAAGCTGAACTATTGCCTGAAGGGGAAAGTTTCAGTAATTCAGCAAAACGGAAAGCAGCTAAATCCTGCAATGCACGTGAGGAAGGCAAGCGGGGAAGATACTGGTGACGTCTCATTAACTGCGCATTCTGCAGCGAGAGCACAGATTTTAATATGCATTTTCTCCCTGCTGGTCCTACATTAGCCACAGTAAATGGAAGCCATCAATCACAGAGTTACATTTCATTTGCGGAGCCCACATCACCTGCATTCCACCTGGGCCCCAGAGCTTACAGAGCCATCTGTTGTCATGGGCGGCGTCTCGGGGGGGGTTTAGGAGCTAAAACCCCACACAGCAGGGATGCTGCAGCAGCGAAGGCTCATTGCAAGGGATAAAGCTACTTGTTCAAAATGAATGTGCTATAAACTGTTTATGGTGTCCCAGGAAGCCCATAATCTTATAGCTTCTGTCATTCCCCCGCCCTCACCATCCTGGTCCACCTCCCCCAAGCAAATGGGTATTTAAATCTGGGAAAGAAGCACTGCGGAAGAGCTGCAATCAGACAGGTCGGGATGTAATGGCTCTGGCAGATTCTCACACCCTTGAAGAAGCACTTCTCTTTCATCCAAGGATCTCAAAGTGCTTTTCCCAGCTAGCCAGGCCTCACACCTTCCCCTGCCACTCACGCTTACAGACGTGCCCTGTCGGATGTGGAATTTCTAAGCAGCTTGGAGGGAGACCCTCGCCGGATCAGAACTTGGGAATCTGGGAATTTCCAAATGGGATGCTTAGGGCAGGAGTTACCAGCTTTCTTAGGGTATGTTTTCACTACCCGCCGATCCGGCGGGTAGCAATTGGTCTATCGGGGATCGACTTACCGCGTCTCGTGAGGACGCGGTAAAATCGATCCCTGATCGCTCTGCCGTCGACTCCGGAAATCCACCTCGGCAAGAGGCGGCAGCGGAGTCAGCGGCAGCGGTCGGCTTTCCCCCGTCCTCACCGCCAGGTAAGCCGACCTAAAATACGCAACTTCAGCTACGGTATTCACGTAGCTGAAGTTGCGTATCTTAGGTCGGAACCCCGCTGTAGTGTAGACCTAGCCTGAAGCAGTGGTACCAGTTTAGCAGGCTATGCAGCCAGTGCCCATTGTCTACTGTTCAGCTCCTCGCATGCTCGTCTGTCACAGGGGCTGGGTTGCTGTTGTCATGAACCTGGGCTTTGGGGCAAACCCCTGAATCAGTCATTCTGGGGTCATGGCTCAGCGATTTCTATTAGAACAGCTGCCGTTTGGTAGGTTTTTGATTGCTGCACGATGGCTTTCAGTGCAAACAACTCTGACAGAGACAGGGACATTACGTGGGTGATCCCTGGAAGGAGTGGAGGAGAAACTAGACCAAAACATATTTTGTCATGGCTGGCAGCTCTACAGGGAAGAGCTTCATTCTGCTTACTATTTCACAGATTTTACCACCTCACACTCAGCTTCTGCCCTAGAGAAGCCGGATTAGATGTTTCCTTAAATAATAAAGAGTCTTAATTCTCGTTTTTAAAATCATTCTCTAGGGCATGGCACAAGAATTCCCTCCACGCAGCAGCGAGAGCCTTTCACGCACACCTCTGTTCCAAGGCCCTAAAGTGGGTGCCTGCAGCCACGCGGACTGTGGAGAGGACTCTGATCTCAGCTCCTTGCTGGGGTCATACTGGAGAGCAGACCTGGCAACCCGCGATGCTACTCAACAATCGTCAGTGCTCAGAAGAGTGGGGCCGGGTTACAGGCACATGCACACAGCCGGTTACCTATAGTGACGGTGTAGATGGAGTTGGCGTAACCATCGTAGTTGCAATTGTCATTGTGCTGCCCTCCATTGCCGCTGGCCACAACGAAAATGCTTCCAAAGCCCCTGCGACCAGCAATCACCCCATGTTGCAAGGCAGCCTGGGGAAGAGAGAAGCCATGTTACTGCTCAAGAGTGAGTTCCCATTGTTCCCTTACTGGCACAATTACAGCCAGAAACCATAAAATGCCCAGCTGTGCACTCTGCCCTGCTGAAACGAGGTGCTTTTATAAAGCATTTCCACCAGCAAATGCTGGGTCAATTTCAGACTGGGCGTAAGAGGGTGAAGCTCCATTGAAGCCAATTGAGTTGAACCTGCTTACACTCGGTCTGAACTCAGCTACCCAAGTTTACATTAAAGAGCTTTCAGACCCTGATGCCCATATTTCTCTGCTTTGACTATGTTGATCTGAATCACGTTCTGCTTTCTTACAATCTCCCTGCAGTTTCAGCTGGAGAAGGTAACCTGTCTTAAACCCGTTATTGTGTAACATTGCTGGATTCCATTAGCAGCACCCATGTTCCAACCCAGAGGTGGCAGCACTTTCAAAGGCACAGGCAATGACCCTAGTATCTAGTAAAGAGCTCATTGCATGGACCCCTCTGATGAGCACTTTATGTGCTAAGAAACTGTGTCTTGGCACTTAGAGCTGGAAACTGGGAGTCAATACCCTCTGGCTACAATTCCCAGCTCACTGTGTGACCAGAAGTCAGTCATAACCACTCTGTGCCTCAGTTTACCCAACTAGGAAGCAAAGATCATTCCTCCTGCCTCCCAGGAGTGGTATGAGGCTGCATCTGTTATACACATTCTGAGATAATTGGATGAACCGTGCTACAGAGGTGCTAAGTAGCTACTAGAGACCCAGATGCTGGTCTCAGCATTCTGGAAGGCCTATGAATGCTGGGAAAGAATAAATGAACAGGCACAACTGGAATCCATTTGTAACCACAGCGTGACAGAGATATATGCTTTAATGCATCTGTATCCATGCCACCGAGCTGCAGCGCAGCTGTTGTTCTGTGGTTGCAGAGATGCAGCCACAGCGTGGCAGAACGAACTCTACAGAGAGTGAAACCCCATCCTGTGTTAGTGGAGAGCTAAACACGAGCCGTGCACTTGAATTTCTAGGCGCTCGCTCCAAAGGAGGCATCATCTAGCTAAGCCCATCACTGTAGGCTCTAGGCATCAAATACAACGTACAAGGTAGTGAAGGGTGAAGGCTGTTAGGGAATTGGGACAATGTTCTTCTGTCCATCTCTGGTGAGTGTGCATTTCTATGGGCTGTTCTGCAGAAAGGGCTCTGGAAGGAACATGTTCACTGGCCACTGGGCAGCCTCCCTGCTTTCAAGGGAACGCCTGGGCAAAGAGATGAGCTATGTGTCCATCCCGGTCTCCAGAGGCAGGGAGTTCCACAGCTCCACTCACAGCCTCGGCCTCCCAAGACCTTCCCCGAGGTGTGCTGCACACCTTCCCCAGAACAGCCACAGGGCACTCTAGGGAGTTTGCAGATGGGCTCTGATCCCAAAACCTCTGAAACCAATGGGAATATTTTCCCTGACTTTAACGTGCTTTGGATCAGGCCCTGGGTCAGCCAGGCTCTCGCCCATCAAGTACTCTATGGATAAAAACTAGGGGGTTGATAGCTCTTACTCACATGAGTAAGTCACTGGGTGGCGGGCACATGGATGGGGAGCTAGTGCACAGCATGGCTGTGATAAATGCTCACATTAGCGAAAGCCAAGAGCATCAGTGTCTTAATGATGCGTTAGGGCCGGAAATGGGCCGGGCCTTGATCGGCATCCGAGTCAGCAGCCTGGATTCTGCCTGCATTTTGGGGGGGGGTTTTCATTTGCTGCTCAGTATCAGTGCAGGCTCTCCTGCTGCAGTGCCGAGCAGTGACTAAATAGAGAGAAACCCTCAGCCCACAGCCACAATAACTTACAGTTGTTTGAAAGAAGTGAAGGGGCTGTTCATAGACCTGACAGAATGTTTTAACAAGCAGTGGAGCTAGATTACAGAGTCTGCCAGGGGCCAGATTATCTCCACACTCCAGCAGCTGCCAGACCAGCCATTCTAGGGAGAGGGAAGGAAAGCCCAGCCAGCCCCCAGGTGGGTTAATCCAGAAATCACTCCTTCCTTCTTCTCCTTTCCAGGCAGGGGCATCTTAAACGCCTTTACATGCCCCTTCCAGACTGATTCCCCCTGCCATTTCTCTCACTCATCAGGGTCTGGATACTTTGCCCGAGTCCCTTATTCATTCCCAGGCCTTCCGAGGTTGCACTCCTTGGATTCTGAGCCGCTCACTGATACAAAAGCTGTTAAGTATCAAAGGGGCTGAGAGTCTATTCGGCCCCCTTGGAGCCGCTTCCTTTCCCAGTGAGATGAACTTTTCCTTGGAACTTCAAGTCACCATCCCCTACAACCCCGGCTGTCACCCTTTCTGAGGCAACGGCAGCTCTCCCTGGGGCACGGTGACCTGGGGCGGTGTGCACTGCACGATGGGGTCGCACAAGAGCTTTCTGCACCACAGGGCAGTCCCTGCTGCTCTGGGCTTTAGGCAAACCGAGAATGACAAGGCATTTCCCAGCAAGGTGGCTGCCCTGGGGCTGGCTCCGTTTTTTTATACCTTTCCTAGCTGGTGAGGACCATCCACAGTTTTGCCATCATCATCCGGCCCCCAGCTGTGAAGAGAGACACCATGAAAAGACACAGTCACCTTGGGATGCTGCTTTGAATTCAAGTTTTCATGCGTGACTGTAGTGCTGGGAAAAGGGGCCCGACTGGCAGCCCTTTATCCGTCCACAGGACAGATGCAGCAGAGACCGGTCAAGGAGCAGCTTCCCACATGCAGCCCGACCCTGCCCAGCAAGGCCCACCTCTAGGGCAGGAAAGGAGCTCAGTCTCCGTGGCCATCATCTATCCAATCTGCCAACCAGGTTAGTGCCAGTTAAGTGCAAACCTGGGCAGAGGCCCCAAGCACCCGTCAGACAGGACCAGCTCTCAGCCATTTGGGAGCTGAGCATACGGCACTTTCCCATCCATCCGAGGGGGCCCCGGGCTGTCGGACCCTGCCCTCGTGTTCAGACCATGCTCTGGCTCTGATTCCAATGGTTTGATTTGGGGTAAGGTTATTCTCCCCAGACACTCCAGCTCACAATGCACCTCCCACTCAGGGTGCCTCGGGGCTCCAGTTTCCTCTGTAAGCCTCACCTTCACACAAGGCTGGGTGTCACCGGGGGCCGTCTACACCCGTCTGGAAGCTGATTGATTAAGGATAGGTCAAGCCGCCTTAACTGGGTTTACCTCACAGCTCTAACTGGTTTTACAGTCAGTTTAGTTGGAGCAGTTTTAAAAGGCACTAGACAATCTCCCAGCGGACAGGCCCAGAGACAGACTCCCATCCAGGGGCACCGAGTACAGTGTACTTCAGCCTTCAACAGCACTGACGTGTCTCTTAGTAACAATAAAATCACAGCCCCACCCCTGAAATATGACAGGCTGCAAACCTCCACCCGGCTCAGCTGTGCAGGACTCCTGGCAAGGCAGGCTGGGGCAGGAGACGTTTGGAAAGCTTGATTCCAAAAGATATGCAGCCCAAGCCCGTGTCCCCATGGCCAGCTCCTGCCTTCCTTCCAGATAGGGCCTTGCTGAGAATGCACAGACCCCCGCACACAGCGGCTGTGTTTGTGGTGTGGATTCTTCTGCCGCCAGGAGGAAACATACCACATGGCTTAATAAAAGCTCAGCCCCAGGCACCCCAGGGCCAAGGCTCCCAATGCAGCGCTAAGAGCCCTCTGGCGCTTCCCGCGGGATCCCAGGTCCAAAGCCCAAACCAGGGCTGGGAGGACAGAAGTGTGGGCTAGCGCTCCGAGCAATGCACTGAAAGCCAGGGCGCCAGGATTCTGCCTCTGACCTCTGCACTTCAGTTCCCATCCTCCCAGCAGGGACGGCAATGCCAACCCATCTCATGGGCCTTCAAAGCCTTTTAATGAAAGGTGCTAGAGATCTGCAAAGTCCTAGTGCATCTCTCTGGGTATCCCCATCTCCTGGGCCAGACACCAGGAGAATTCCTTGCCTCTGGCCCCAAACAGCTGGTGCGTCCCCAGACCGGCCGTTCCTTCCAGCAGACGTTATCCCACCGAGCAAAGGGGGCAAACTCCCTTGAGCGTTTTAATCTCATTTAAACGTGAGCACACAAAGGGGAAAGGTGCTACGGGTTTTGGTGCTCACGGCCGAGCTGCTCCTTAGAAGCGGAAGGGAAGGATGGGAGCTGGTGTGGAGGGAGGGGGGGCAGCAGCCCCGTAACAATCAGACAACCACGGCTCTGATTTTGCCAGTACATCCCGGGAAAGGAGCCCAGCACCGGGCTCGGCACCACTCATGCTACGGGCAGTCGTGCCATGTGTTTTGGCAGGACCTGCCCCACGCCCCTTAGCACGGGGCTCTGGGCTCACCTGCAGCTGTAGATGTCATTGATCTGATAGTGCTTGTTGAAAGCGATAGCCTCCATGCTATCTGTGAGGGGCCCATCCAGGACTCGGATGCCTGCACAACAAAGGACAATTAGCATGACTGTAATGGATCGTGTTAGTTGTAAAAACAGTGTGAACCAACTCCTCGGCAGGTTCCCAGCAGGGACATCTACGGTCCCAGCATCAGGCCAAACCGGTTCGCTTGCGGCGGGAACAAGGCAGTAACCGGAGATGGATTCCCTGGACTCAGGCTAGGGCTTGTCAAGCCACCCAGAGGCTCATTCTGGGCTAGTGAACGGAAAGCCCAAGCCTCCCATTTACAAAGTGCCAGAGCCCCTCACCCCACGGCAAGGAGAGGCAGACAAGGAGTCTGCCAGTGAAACACGAGGGGCTGCTGCCTGGAAGCAGCGTCCGGTCACTGGGGTGATTTGCACGTCTCTGCTCTGAAGTTGGGAGCTGGAGTAGGAGGATGGGGAAGGGCGGCAAAGGGATGAGTGAAGGGGAAAGGGTGGGTCAGATGAGACAAAAGGCCAAAGTCTTGACCTCCTGGGGTACGTCCACACGAACTGGGAGCACGCTGGGGAGACAGACTCACACAAGTGGGGCTCAAGCTGGCTAGAAATAGCAGTGTGGACATTGCAGCACCAGCTCGTCACACAAGCTCAATCCCGCCCCCGCCCCCCGATCAGGTGGCTAGCCCGAGCCTCCAGCAGGGCTGTAACAGCCACGTGGCTCTCTCTCGCATGCTAGCGTGAGTCCCACTGCCACGAGTCTGTCTACACGGGCTGGGAGGCTCGATCCCAGCTGCAGCACAGATGTGCCCTTGGGGTCCCCAAAGATCCCCTGGTGCTTTTCACTAGGACTGAGGCCTCCTGGCCATACTCCAATTCAGACAATTCTATTCTGCCTCCCCAGCCCCCCTACAGTCTCAGCTGGAGACAGTATTTTTTAAGCCACCTGTCCTAAATTGCTGTGCTGTGCACTGTTACACAGCTGATGTGTTCCACCCCAGACACAGCTGTAATGCAGCAGTGGGCGAAACGATCCCATTATCTATAGGTTGCTAAGTATTTAGGGATCCTTTATGGCAGAAGCGAATATGTATCTGCTCAATATATTATTAATCAGAACGGCTTCTAAGCTGCAGGACCACCAGATTTCTGTGATCAAGACACTGAGTATTTCACAGTAGAGTAACCTCGACTCCAGAGGCTAGATTAAAAACAAATGAAATCTTAAACTGGACACATGCTTTCAGGGAACCAAAGAGTCGATAGTCAAACGGTATTGCATCATAGTTTAGGTTAGCAAATAATGTTACAAATGGAAACCATGCATACGCCCGAGTTAAAATCTGTATCACCGAGGAAACACCCACCAGTTTCCGCTCCAGGCCGGTGCAGCACAAGTGCCTTATTTGCTGTCCCAGTGGAACAGTCCCCGCCCCAGCGCCAAAGAAGTCGAATGAAAGCAGCACTGGCACTGCACCACTCCCAGCTCTCTGAAATCCAGCCCTTGCACCAAGCCATGTGTGGTCTCAGGACTGCAAGTGAATGCTTGGCAGAGGGAGACGTCCCCTGTCCCACCCCTTAGCCAGAGGCTGCTCCGCCTGGTTCCTGCCTTGCTTGAGCTGTACCCAATTCACAGACTCAGGGGCAGGTTCAGAATATGGTTTGATCACTCTTAGCAAGCACAGATTCCTGAGGAATAAACTGAGAGTGCAGCTGGCTTTCCTCGCCTTCTCTTCCTCCAACCCATGGGGTCATTTTATGGCAACACTTCATATTATTTAATTTACTATGCCCTAGAGAACAAAATCTGGCTGCTGGCACCCAATTTAATTACTATAGTGACACTCTGCACATCTATAGCACCTTCCATCCACAGATCTACCGCAACGCATGGGAGAGACATTCATTTACGCTCTCACCTCCTCTGCAAGGGACAGAGCTTCATTTCTCCAATGGGGAAACTGAGGCACGGAGAAAAGACATGTCTTGCCTGAGGTCACCCTGGCAGAGCGGGGATTAGATCCTCCCTACGCCCAGCCCCATGGTTTAAACCACAGTCCCATCCTTCCTGTTGCACTCTGCTAAATAAGCTCTACTTTCCAATGGCAATGACCAAAACCTCCAAGCCAGGGTGGAGCCAGGCAGGTGCACACTACAGAGGGGCCCTACAGCAGTGCACACTTACTGAGGGGCTGGGCAGAAAAAGCCATGGGCAGGGGGAACTGCTCCAAGAAACAGAACAAATTAACCGTGTAGGATTTTAGTTTCCTCTTTCGGTTCCATTTTACTTCCGCAGCATATGGTCTCCCTGGTTTTACCCTGCACCTCAAGAGTGCTGGCTGGTGCTAAACTACTGGTGTTCATGGGACATTTGGATTCATTCTAAGGAGGGCAGCACCATCTGCTGGACAGAGTGAAAACACAGGACTATTAAGTTCATAGGCATCCAGTGGGTATGTCTGTACTGCAATTAAACACCCGTGGCTGTCCCATAGTAGCTGACTTGGGCTCACGGCTCGGACTACAGAGCTATAAAACTTCAGCAGAGCGTCTGAGCTCTGGGACCCTCCCCCCTTGCGGGGCTAAATTCTCTCACTGAAATCAATGGGCATCAAGGTGGTTTCAGTAGCTACTAAAACCAAAGGGCAAAGTCAACAGGAACCGTTTCCCTGGTTTTGCACAGAACAGATGTGCAGCCACGTCTGTGCACATCATGTCTGCGGAGACGAAGGGCTAGGTGACCAGCAAGGTCTGTAGGGGATGGTACACCACTTCACTTCACTGGAATCACAAGGTGCGGAAGGATTCTGGGAACCAAACTGCTTGGCACCAGAGTGCATGTTTATCCAAGACTCATTTCAGTTGGAGCAGGAAGGTTTTGGCTCAGTTTGTGAGTGGAAAGCACCACTGGCCAGTGCAAGATCCACCAGCCAGCCTCTCGCATGTGGAGTGGGGAGTCTCGCACCATGGAGACACTGGGGCACAACCACTTTCAGAGCTGAAAAGAAACCAGACTTTCTCCAAACCACCAGGCATGTCAGTGGCCCTGTCTGATCATACTGGCTTCCTGGACATCTGCACGAGGCCATAAATGCACAAGGCCATAGCGTAGTTGCTGTAGGCAGCAAGGGAGCTTCCCAAACATCAACCGAACTTACACGTGTAGGGAACAGCCGCTCGAGCAACACAGAAATGGGTCCAAGCCAACCCACAACATCCAAACACCCCAAAACACTGGGGGAAATGAGATATTGCTGATATTTCCCTTGCAAAAATGCTGACTAACTCACCAACCTGACTCAAACCGCTTGGCACGGGAGCAAAGCCAACACACGCCAATCAAACCACCCCTCTAGACAAGGAGACAATACACAGCAGAGAGGATTGAAAAAGGCACCGAACTCAGCATGCAAAGGTGGCATACCTGCAATGCGGCTGCCGTAGGCAACTCCCACGGCACAGATCCCGTTGTTTGGGACAGCTGCAATTTCACCAGCGCACCGGGTCCCATGGTGGTTCCCATTTTCTGCGTCAGGGCGGGGCATAGGGTCGGGGTCATTGGAGTTCAAGTCATAGCTGCCTTCAGGGCTCTGAAACAGACCAACAACTGTAGCTTAGAGGTCTCCTTTCTTTGGAGAAAGCAGGATTTAATACCACGTTAGCAGGCCTGGAAAGCATAGGCTGAAAGCTTAAAGAACGCAGAGGCAGGGTCCATGTGGGTTAGTGACCAAACCCCATTATGTATCACTGTGGAAGGGTATTAGCAGAACCAGCACTGGTTTCCTGATGGGCAGTGGAATGGTAGTCACATTTTAAGACATTTTAGCACCTAGAAAATATGTCCTTCTCCCCATCCCAGCCAGTTCACAGCATGCCCAGGATTCCCGGACAGTGTCCTCTCTGGCTCTGCTTTTAAGTGAGTCTACTTCTCTCTGTGATTGCCAGCTTCTTATCTACACCGGTCAATGACCAGGTGTACGTGAGGAACATGGTTTCCATTTCTTTCTTCGTCTGGAAGCTGGATACAGAGGGCAACACACAGCCGGCTGGCCTCTGCCACGGGATTTAATAGGCACCTTCCTAGCTACTGCTGGGACATTCACCCCTCCCCACGTAGCTGCTCTCTGCCCAGCCGGCCAGTAGAGACAGGGAACGTCTGAGCACCCAAAGCCAGAGGCCCCTCAGCCAACAGAAACGATTGCAAACAAAGGCAAAGTGCCCTCATTTCACCCTGGAGCAGGGAGCAAACAGGACCCCACTTCTCCCTCCACAGACAAGGGAAAGCTCCTTCCCGGTGACCAGCCCTGGCTTTGCCTCGCTGCGTACGGGAGCAGCTTGTAAGATCTCCAGGTGGGCACCTCCGATACTCATGCCCTGTGGGGAGCAGCTGGCTCACCGGGCACAGCAAGCCCCTGACATCTGCTACTCACTAGCAGTCTGTGCAGGGTTCACGTAGCCTCCTGCACACAAGAGACACGCCAGGCCAGTCAGCTACTAGAACCAGAGTGCAGGAGCCTCCGGTTCCAGCTCCCGTCTCACCCATTCCCAGTGACCGGCAGGGACTGCGGGAGAGGACTAGCATCAGTGGCACAAGAGACACCTCCAGGTGGATTAAGAAGTGCTGCTGCGAATGGGCTCGGAGTCCTGTGAACAGCCACGCGGCTGCCAGCTACAGCGGAGCTACAAGGGGAAGAGTTTCATGTCTGGGCTGTTCCTAGGCCACTACTGGCTGCTCTTATCTCAGACCCAGCTGGCGCATCCCACTCCAGAGCCAGGCTGTGGGGTACTCACGTAATTTGGCTGTATATCTTGGCTGGTGTGCTCCACGCCATCATCCACGACCACGACGGTCACGCCGCGGCCTGTCACGTTCCGCTCCCACACGCCCGTCACATTGATATCCTTTCCCGGGGTCCTCCGATTGTTCTAAGCGCCGGCAGAAAGAAGGAGGGGTGAGCAACAGCAGAGCCGGGGCAGCGGCTGGGGAAGGCGGGTCAGAGCGCACCGGGATCCTGGCTCCCAGGCAGATGACAGGAGCATTTGCTCTCAGCCATTGCTTAGGGGAGGGCATGAAGCTGATGGGTGGGAGTGCAAGAAGCCTCGTGACAGAGTCCCTATGGGCCTGACTTTCAGAGACGATGAGCACCTAAAGCTCCCAATAGCCAGCTGGAGCTGTGGGTGCCCGGCACTCCCAAATCAATCAATCAATCAAATCAGGCCTTAAACTGGTACCTATCCCCTGCAGCAGCAGGAGGGCTTGGGAACTTCCATACCAGTGTGAAACGCAGGCCATTTCCCCGGCACAAAGCTTTGTCTGGCCTCTGCTCAGGTTCAGTTGCCACCTCCCTATTCCAGTAAGAACCAGAACAGGTCAGTTTCTCACTCTCCCAGCCCGGCTGATTTCAAGTGAGCACGCCACTGGTGAGAGGCGCTGGATCACCAGCCCTAGGAGATGGAGAGAGAGGCGGGGCATTCCCCTGCCCTGGGGGAACCACCTCCAAGGATGGGACAGGAGCTCATTGCCCTATTTGCCAAGCGTGCCAGCCAGGGGCCCAGCCAGGGCAGTGGTTTGGCGACGTGATCACTTGTGCGCTGGGAACTGGGCCAAACAGTTCCTTTGTTTCTTGGAGTTTAACGAAAGAAAATCCCTTCTGATCTCCAAGAGGCCGCCCCCCCCCCCCGCCCTGCATTTCCAGGCAAATCCCAGGGCTCACCCTGCCAGCACTGCAGCCTGCCCAGAGCAGCAGCGAGATCCCACAACCACTAGCCCAGGAAGGACACTCACCAGATGCCACTGGTTGGGGTATTCGGGGTCATTAAAGTGCAGGCTGCGTTTGGAGCGCTTCAGAAGCTTCTGCTCAGAGTGCCACCGCACGCTGTCGTGCTGTGCAAATAAAGCCTCTACCGACCTCCTTATTGCTTCAGGTCCTCGTTCTGTCTGGCCATTTGGTTGGTGGGCGAAGAGGTAACGGCCCTTTAACTCCCCGATCCGGCCCAGGTTCACCAGGCCTCCCGTCCTGGCCAGTTCGTCGGCCTGTCGCTCCAGCTCCTCCTCACGGGAGGACAACCCCACTGGCACATTTAAGTGCACGGCCCAGGTTAACTCTCCAGAGCCTTGAGCCATCTCCTGGGTTTTAGCCCCAGGCTCGAGTTCTGAACCATGTGCAAGTCCATTTGGCATGAGCAAGGGAATCCAGGCTGGAATCAGCCAAAGGCACGCGTGGATACACAGTGTAGCCTCCATGACAGCACTCCATAATGGCACCTTCCTCCTCCAATGCGGCATCAGACAAGCGGGCTGCAGAGGGCAAAGACCAAGAGTGAGAGTCCTTCACACAACTGACTTAGAATGCGCGCTGGGTTTGGGTGCTTCATCCCCGATCACATAACTGAACATCCCCTGGACCAAAAAGCCCCACATCCCTCCTAGAAGCTCGCCCTTAAAACGAAGCCATGACTGCACAACCCTTTGGTACAGCAAGGGCAGCACCAGGCTCCTAGAGAAGTGTTTGTGTGCTGACTGTCACGGAGTTAGTCGCCTTTCCAATGTTAGATTTGGAATTGAATATGCCACACCCAGCCTAGGAGAAAATATCCTGTCATCTGGCAGCCATGAACCCATTGTGGGCGAGTGAAATTACTGCCTGCAAGACAAACTGCTGATTTGTATCGTGGGATCATTGACTGATGGGCAGATTCAACCCGAGGTGCAACATGGAAAAAAGTCTCCAGCCTTGGGTTTCCTTTTGAATGCTGCTGAATGGCAGAACAAAAGGACAGTTTGCCTGATCGTCTCCTCCTCTGGCTCTGCTCAGACAGCTGTGCCCCAGACTGCACCGCAGGGAAGAGGCATGAGGCTAACAACATAAAGCTACACAGAAACAAAACATTACAACACCTCTGTAGTTACGTCAGATGGACACATTTGAGATCCAGATCCTTCTTGGAAAGTCTCCTTAAACATGCTCCTAGCCTGTCCCAGCAGAAGGAACCTCTCTCTGTGATCCGACTCTCACCTGCTCGCAACTTGAGGCAGCATTGCAAACTCCACAACCAAGGATCTGAGTTTGGGTTTCGGTGAAATGTCGCACTGAAAGCCAGTCCCACTTCACGCAGGAGTGAGAATATTCATATCACCCCCCGCCCCCGACCTCTGTATGCACCTGGGCCAGTGCATTAATAGTCACTAGAGTTCTGTGATACATCACCCCACCAGCAGTTTAGTTGTTAACAATTACACAAGAGCTTTCCCCCCTACTCAGTTTACAAGCATGTGAAATAAGTCAGTGGGGTACAATTCCTGTCAGACACCATCAGCAATTAATGCTCATGCTGGCTAAAGGATCAGGGAACAGGGCTGGAGGGGCAATTAAAAAAATAAATCACAACCTATTGTGAAAAGGGAACATGAATGACTGTAACAGGCTTTTTGCTTTTAGCTCATTAAAAAGTGTAATGGAGATAAGAGATCTCACACAAACGAATCGTGAAAGCTTAGTTTCAGGGGTGAACAAATCAGACAGATGGGCTGCTACACGGCAACATTTCATTGTCCACTGCATTCCTGTATCTCCATTATGAAGTGATGCACCACAAGCCAGGACCCAGAAGCCTGTCTGCAGATTGCAGAGGAAAGGGGGGTTTCCGTAGTGGCATGTTGTTGCTGGAGGCCAAAGCCGAGCTGCTCACTGAAATATTACACTAAGCAGCTGAGTCAGAAAAGGTCACACAAGTTCACGGTTCATCTGCCTTTCCCAAGTGCTCCTTTTAAGCTCCAGGAGGCAGACTCTGCACAAGCAGACTACGGTCAAAAACAAACAAAAAAGAACAAAAAACAGCTCTACTATCTAGCCCAGTATCCTGTCTTCCGGCAGCAGCCAATGCCAGGTGCTCCAGAGAGAATGAACAGAACAGGGCAACCAAGTGATTCATCCCCTGTCGTCCCTGCCCACCCTGGCTAATAGTCATTGAAGGACCCATTCTCCATGAACTTTTGGAGCCCCGTTATAGCTTTGGCCTTCACAACATCCCCTGGAAATGAGTTCCTGTGGTTGACTCTGTTGTGTGAAATACTACTTCCTTATATTTGTTTTAAAGCTGCTGCCTATTCATTTTATTGGGTGACCCCTGGTTCTTGTGTTATGTGTCCTGCCCTCGGTTTCCCTTTCTATCTCAAGTCTTTCGGATCAATTTCCAGTATTTCCCATTAGCACACTGAGTGACAAAAACACAATCAAGCTGCGGACACAACACCAAACCAACCAACTGTGTTAGATCGGGGTCTAGGGAATAGAGCTCCCGGGTTTCTTTCCCAGCTCTGCCATGGACACTGTTCCAACAAGGGGTTTAGTAAGGTTTGAATTTGTTCAGTAATTAAAGAGCCCTCAGAAGTCAACTTGACTGGATATATTAAATAGTTAGTTAATTAGACAGCACATAACAGAAAGAGTGTAGATACCACAGTCTGTGAGAACCAGTCCTACAACCCGCCACAGGCAGCCTGTGCTCTTTGCCTGTTCCAATTACCTGCATACAGCCTAGCACAGATATACCCAAGGCTGTTCAGAAGTTTCGGTTCCTATTGGTTCCTCTTTTCTTATACAAATATAGATTATTTTTAGTCCATTTCCAGACTTTGTCATATTTCATAAATTTTCAACTGCATAATCAATAGCTGCTGCTTACTCATTTTTGAATTCTTATCTACTGCAGTTAGGACATTGCTTGCTCATTCAAAACGGTAGGGCTCTGTGTCAAAGGTTATTTTTCTGAACAGTTTTAGCAAATCAGTACTTCCCACTTTTTTAACGTTTCTGCAAGGCACTTTGATAGCTAGCTGTCTTGTGAGCCAAAATATCAGGCCTATGAAAAACTGGCCTATTGGTTACACTCAACCGTCACGTCTCCTCAGTTTACTCAACTATAAAATGGGGATGATAGTTATCCACCCTACGAAGATTTTTGAGGCTTAATTAACTTCTATGAAATGCTCCTTGAACGCACTTAGAAAATACAGAACATTCTTAGTAAATGGTTAACTGAGGCAATACCTATTAGCCAAACTACTGCTACATTAATGAACAGCTTCTCTTTGAAACTCACTCACTGACATCCACGTGGACAAGACATGCACAGAACTAATAACATGAATGATCCTCTAAGTTGACAGGCCTCAAGTTTTACTTATTATTTACCCTCTATTAAATGGTTTGTTTGAAGCAAAGCTATAGTTACGCCAGGAAAGCACTTGCATGATCTACCCTTGAGTTGTTCATACAGTATGTTTGAAAAGTCCATGCATGTAGTTCTTTATGCATACCCACCTGCAAGAATTACAGTGTTAATGTTCTCTAGTGCCTTGCGTATAACTGACAATCAGAAGTACCCCCAAAAAGTCTGTATTAGCATATAAGAGGACTTCACAACATCTGGCAGCCCTAAAGACTTTACTATTAGAACTTACCATATCCACATACAGAAGTTGTACTCAGTTAACTGCAGTGGTTGAATATCAGCCTTTAGTTCAATTAGTGCAACTTCTATGTGTAGGCACACCCTTAAAGTCATCATGCCGAAGGCCTAGGAAGTATCATTGCATTTCTCTCATGCTCAGGGTTAGTCATGGGCCCCGTTTATCTTGTTTCACTGTTTGTTCTGTTCTAAACTGTAAGGTTTTGTGGTGCAGTTAGAAAAGAAAAAGAACTCAGGAAGACCTGGGGGTGATTAAACCTGCAACATCTGCTTGCTCAGCACCTCAAATGCCTAAACTCTGACTCCATGACACTCGAGAAAATCAAACAGGCCTAGATGTTGGGAGAGGGAAACATGCCAAGAGCTGGAGAGCGTGAGAACTGAGTGTGAACAGCTCAGAAAGTGGTAGACAGTAGTTGGAGGAAATGTATTGCAGATTGAAACTGCTAACTCAGCACACGGGATGCCTTCAGCCAGGTTTCTATCCTACTTCGCCCTGAGATCTACGTTCCCTTCCTCATTCCCTACCCCAAACAGGGAACTTTTATATGACTGATCTCCTCTAAGGAGGAAACTGATGGCTGTAAATTTCTGAACACACCAGTTGCTAAAACCTTCAAAGTTTCCCCACTTCCGGAAGAGACAGGGTGCTGCTGAAATAGAGAAAACAAGCAGCCAAAGCCAGACCACCTGACAAAACTACACAGAGGCCACTGAATAATCCTAATTATGATAGATGACATTTTGATTTTCTATAAGAACTTATTCTCGGATGATCCCAAAGTATTTTACACACAGTAATCGTTGTTCGCAAGTATCATCCCTGACTCATGTGGGGAAAAGGAGGCACCGGGAAGTTAAGTCACACAGCACATCAGTGGCAGAGCAGGATAGGAACCCAGAAACTGTGACTCCCAACTGAGTGTCTAGTTCTCCTGACTCTTTCCATGCCCAAGATAGGCAGGGATACATGAAAGTTCTGCAGACGTGTCTTGGTCCAGCCCCCAGCAAATGGGACAGGATTAGCCCCTTCAGAAGAGGGTACACTTTGCGCTTTCCCAGCACCTCCTCCTAAACACACGGGAAGAGAGAGCTATTTGGGGACTGGAGGAGGAGGGGAGTTGGATAAATCACTCCTTTAAGGGAAGAATTAAATGCTGTTGTGTGTTCTCCATTCTCTAGGACAAGGGACCCCTAACTCCCAGCTCTCCCAGCTGCCTAAGCCCCCTCCCTCGCTCCCCTTTCCCCCGGCTTCCGCTTGGCCCCCTGCCAGACTCTGTCCCCACACCAAGCTCTCTCTGCCCAGTTCTTTCCTTTGCTCTCCTCACCTTATGTCCGTCCCCTGCTGACCCCTCTGCCCGGCTCCCTGAACCCTCCCCCTAGCCTCCCGCCTCGCCTCATTCCTGCTTCCGACTTGGTCCCTAGTCCCTTTCCTGTGCCCCGAAACTGCCCCTGCACCCCACTGCTCTGCCCCCCAGCTGCCCCTGCCCCCCACTGCTCTGCCCCCCCAGCTGCCCCTGCACCCCACTGCTCTGCACCCAACTGCCCCTGCACCCACTGCTCTGCACCCAACTGCCCCTGCACCCACTGCTCTGCCCCTGCCCCCCACTGCTCTGCCCCCCAGCTGCCCCTGCACCCCACTGCTCTGCCCCCCAGCTGCCCCTGCACCCCACTGCTCTGCCCCTGCACCCCACTGCTCTGCCCCGCAGCTGCCCCTGCACCCCACTGCTCTGCCCCTGCACCCCACTGCTCTGCCCCCAACTGCCCCTGCACCCCACTGCTCTGCCCCCCAGCTGCCCCCGCAGCGCACCCCCCCACCACAACAGCTGCCCCCTCAGCTCCCCGGTGCCCCCTGCTCTGCCCCCCAGCCCTCACCGTGCAGGGAGCCTCATGGATCGGAGCGGCCCGGGGCCCTCTCGCTCCCTCCCGGCTCCGGCGGCTCCTCGCCCGGTGGAGCCCGCACCGGCCCCAGGATACAGTGTAGCCGATGACAGGTGCGTCACGTCCGCCCGTCCCAGGGACCCGCCCCTAGCTCCGCAGCGGGAGGCGCGGGGTGCTCGGCCGGGAGGGGGCCCGGGGGGTCCCGCTCCCCGCTCCCCTGCAGCGCGCCCGGGCGCCGGCTCTAGCACCCACGTGGTCAGCGTTCGGGGCCCTATATCGCCCACGGGCTTCGATCTCGGGCAGTGTGCGGGGCGCAGGCTGGCGGCTCTCCACTGCAGGGTCGGGTGGCCAGGGGCTGGGTGAGCCTGGGGGCACGCCTGGGGCTCCCCGGTCCCCCTGCACGCCCTCGGCCCAGGCGCTCGGCACCCAGGGGTGGCGCTTTTGTCCGGCTGTATTCCTGGGGGTTGCCTCACACGACATCATCTCTAATTAAAGTTTAATCTTTAATTCCTGGAGACTCCAGGCCAGTCCCAGGGGGTTGCCCCCCTCCCTCCCTCCCTCCCTGCACCCAGGTCACTGCCACTCCCAGCGCCTCCCTGGGGCACTGGCCGCTCCCCACAGGCCTGTCCCTGGAGCCGCCAGCCCAGGGCGAGGGTGTGACGCCCAGTGCCCACAGGTCCCCAAGGGGGGACGGTCACTGGGTATTGGTTTGGGGTTGTCCCAGTGTCTTTGGACAAGACCTAATTCCCTGGTCAGACCTGAGCTGCCACGGCCCCGTGAGCCTGTGCCACCTTCCCGGGCTCAGCTCTGGGTGTGCTCTGCCCCCCAGCTGCCCCTGCACCCCACGGGCTCAGCTCTGGGTGTGCCCGGGCTCGCTGGGCTCAGCTCTGGGTGTGCCCGGGCTCGCTGGGAATCCCATGCTTGCAACGGCGGGACTTCTATCGGTTCCCTCCCGGGGCGAGCTCGCTGGGGTGTCTGTGGGGTTCCCTCCCGGGGCGAGCTCGCGAGGGTGTCTGTGGGGTTCCCTCCCGCGGCGAGCTCGCTAGGGTGTCTGTGGGGTTCCCGGGGCGAGCTCGCTAGGGTGTCTGTGGGGTTCCCGCCCCTGGGCGAGCTCGCTAGGGTGTCTGTGGGGTTCCCGGGGCGAGCTCGCTAGGGTGTCTGTGGGGTTCCCGGGGGGAGCTCGCTAGGGTTTCTGTAGAGTTCCCGGGGCGAGCTCGCTAGAGTGTCTGTGGGGTTCCCGGGGCGAGCTCGCTAGGGTTTCTGTAGGGTCGCTGTCAATAGCGCCCTGTGACAGGGCCCGGGCCTGCCGGAGCCGGACCCCCGGCCGCAGGGGGCGCTCTCGGGAGCGGAGCCAGCTCCGGCCGGCGGTGGCGCCGCCTCTTCGTCCCGCTCGCTCCGCCGGCTCCTCGGCGAGCGGCCCAGGAAGTGTCCGGCGAGGGGGCGCTGCTAGGCCTGGCTCCGGCCGCAGGTGGGTGCGCGGCCCCGGCCCGGCCTCCGTCCCCCTCTCCCCCCCCCCGCCCCGCTGTGGGGGCTCCGCTCCGGCCCCCCTCTCCCCCCCGCCCCGCTGTGGGGGCTCCGCTCCGGCCCCCCGCAGCTCCCCGGGGGAGCTCCCCTCCGTGGGGGCTCCGCTCCGGCCTCCCATGGGGGGTGTCTGAGCAAGCTCCCCATCTCCTGCCCCAAGAGCCCCCTTGGCTCCTGCCTGAGAAGCCCCCTTCTCCCCCGCCCCCGACCTGTGGGGCCCCCCCGACCTGTGGGCCCCCCCCCCCGAC